ATATCTCAGCCCTATAACTGATTCATTACACTTACATCTACACAAATATATTTCCTTATTAACCGAATATCATTTAACATCAGATTATTATAACGGCATTACGTCAAGCATGAGGAGCAATTTCGGTTCAACTGCTCTGGATGTAGTTAATATATTCAGCTAAATAAAACGAGCTGATTACAGGAGAAAAGCTTCCTGCCTAGCTAAACTACTCATGTATGAATTACTCAATTAGTCATGCACACTGATTTTTGAAAATGCACAACTCAATGTTGGATTTACACTCAAAGTTTAATTATAACAATTACGTATAATAGTCACGATTGCGCTATCATTCATCATCTCCTTCATCTTAAGCTAACAATTTCCTAACATGCAAAAGCAATGAAATTTAATTGAGTGATGATTTCAGTTTATTTACGAAATTTTCGTAAGCGGGTAAAGATTTGATTCTTCAAAATTTCTTCAAGCGAATAATTTTTATCATAACTGCTAATTTAATTATAACAGGTTTAGTCATTTTAAATGAGACATTTTTTTTGAGGATGGCTTTGCATTAAAGTCGAAAATTTACAGTTCACTACTCGTCTTGTTTTGATTCATATTTTGCAATCTCAAGATATCTTGCTTCTTCGAAATTTGCTTTATACTAAAATGATCACTAAATCACATCGTAATAAAGTACTAATACTTACCTGAAGTAATGATGCAGCCGCTAAAATTTCAAGTGATTCCGAATAACACTTAACCACAGAATAGATATATATCTATTCTGTGACTTAACTAACCTTTATTGAGTTTTATTTTGGCTTTAACATTACATCAGAATATAGCGGCATTACATCAGCATATATAATAGCGGCATTACGTAGAGCCGTTGCGTATAACATTCTTCGTTTGTCAGTGCTTACTGATATGTTTATTTTACTGGATAACGCACACGTTTAAAATATTGTATGAAAATGGCGCCAGAAGTGGGTTAGTTAACTTACGACATATTAGACGTGTATAGATTCCACCTTATAATTCTTTTTGAAACTTTTGTATTACAAAATGACACTTTTGCGGAATTAATGGAGCCACCAATACTAATTTCATCAATTTTCAAATTCCACTTTATCATTGAATAGTCTGTATGTACTCACAAAGTTTCTTAGGCAACTGTAAATCTTTAAACTCAAAGAGTTTCTGTACAGGAGAATAAACAAAAGGGTTTGAATTTTCACTGTGCCTGAATAACATCTTTTGAATTTTTAGAACATACACATACGTATGAATTACTCATTTAATCATGCACGCTGATTTTTGAAAACTCAATAATGGATCTTCTTGAAAGTTTAAAATTATTACAATTACGTGTAATAGTCACTATTGCGCCATCATTCATCATCTTCTTCATCTTAAGCTAACAATTTCCTAACATGCAAATGTAATGAGATTTAATTGAGTGATGATTTCTGTTTATTAAAAAATTTTCGTAAGCGGGTGAAGATGGGAATCTTGAAAATTTCTTCAAGCGAATAATTTTTATCATAACTGCTAATTTAATTATAACAGGTTTAGTCATTTTAAATGAGGAATTCTGTCTGAGGATGACTTTGAAATAAAGTCGAAAATTTACACTTAACTACTCGTCTTGTTTTGATTCATATTTTGCAATCTCAAGATATCTTGCTTCTTTGGAATTTGCTTTATACTATAATGATCACTAAATCACATTGTAATAATGTACAAATACTTACATGAAGTAATGACGCAGCCGGTAAAATTACATGTGTTTCCGAATAACACTTAAACTTTCTTGAGTTTTATTTTGGCTTAGATTACATCAGAATGTTATAACGGTATGACGTAACCATTCTATATTTGTCAGTGCTCACTCATATGTATATATAACTGTAAAACGCATAACGTCTAAAATATTGTATGAAATTGGTGCCGGAAGTGGGCTAAATTGCTTACGGCCTGCTTGACGGATATCGACTCAACCTTATAATTCTTTTTGAAACTTTTGTATTACAAAATGACACTTTTTGCGGAGTGAATAGAGCCACCAATACTAATTTCATCAATTTTCAAATTCCAATTTTATCATTGAATAGTCTGTATGTACTCACAAAGTTCCTTAGGCAACTGTAAATCTTTAAACTCAAAGAGTTTCTGTACAAGAGAAGAAACAAAAGGGTTTGAATTTTCAACTTTCCTGAATAACATCTTTTGAATTTTCAGAACATGCACATACGTAAAGAAAAAGAGAGTTGACAAAGGAAAAGCATATTACCTTTCCTCAGGGGCGTAGGAAGCATATTTAAGTTAGGGGAGGTCATAGAACTTTAGGGCACCTGCATGGTGAAAAGGGTATTTAAATTTGACACGTATTATTTTTTTACAAAAAGCAAACCTTGTCTTACATGATAGTAGCGTATTCAATTCTGTTTCCAATGATTCATATATTTGCCATTATGAATCGCTGCAATATAGGGTGTGACACCTTTTTTTTTCTTGAAGACCTTTCTCTCGATCAAATCATCTGATTTTCCTTTTCAAGACACACCAATATACCACTACAGAACCCCCTCATATATGTACATAATGTCAGTCACAACACTGGACTCGATTCGGTCAAACTCTTCTATTTAGTAAGACAAATGTTGTTTTTGCTCATTAAACAGTTAAACTTATAGTACTGCCTCGTATTTCATTTTAGTAGTGTTTGTATGGCAAAACAATTGTTCTTTTTGTTTGTGTGACATTTGACATGCATAAAACATTGGCTTCTTCATAAAAACACACCCAAACAGATGTTCATCTTTATCTTTTTATGGTTGTAAATCTTAATTATGTGAACCTCTGTGAATTAATTTCATTTCTTAAGATGGAAGCATTCGTTGTTCTGGTCACATTTGTTTGATATATAATAAATATTGTTGGCGTTTTCCCTTGTTGTTGCTCTCTTTCGTCAGCAACGTTTGCCAGTCAGTAATTTGGCTCATCTCTTTTCTTCTCGTCTTTGAATACTGAAATCCTCATCTTAAAACTCCCAACTTCCAAGTTCTCTGCCGTTACCAGAATCATTCTTGAGATAAAGTACATGCGTAAGCCATCTTGTCAAATTATAACTTTTTTGCATATTCTGCACTATCTATTGCATAAAGAGCCTTTTCGGTTCAACTGCTTTTGATGTAGCTAATATATACAGCTAAATAAAACGAGATGATTTTCGGAGAGCTATCTTCTTGCTTAGCTAAACTACTCATGTATAAATTACTCGTTTACTCATGCACGCTGATTTTTGAAAACTCAATAATGGATCTTCATTGAAAGTTTAATTATTACAATTACGTGTAGTAATCAAAATTGTGATATCCTTTATCATCTCCTTCATCAGAACCTAAGATAGGGAACTGGATTTTATTCTACGTTGATTACTCATTGGAATCATCTCGAAAATTCACAACACCTTTCTCACCGAACAGGTACGCGCATTGGTTAGTGAGTCTTTAGACTTTTTCTTTGCCTTATTGTAAAGCGTCACTGATCATGCATTTTCTTGAAAGGGACTTCGATGTATAAAATAGGTGAGAGCCAACAATGATATGAAACGATAACATTTTATATCTTTGTTGGCTTTCACCCATTTCATGTGACTATGTGCCTGCAATGTTTCCAATATATTAATTCCTTACGTGTCCCACCGTTAACTTTACCGGAAAAAATTTAGCTGATGTTAGATTTTTCCAGCAAATTGAGTAAGGCGACATGCACATGATGCGTGCTTAAATGTATGTATTTTGTAAATGCCTTCATCCGAAGTGTCCAAGAAAAAGTTGAAAGTAGCAAAGTGGCTATTAGTTAAAAAATAGTTGCGACAAGTTGTGTCAGTAATATTTTTTATAATTTTGTGGAAGACATTTGATAGATATAAACGATGGAAGACAGCGCCTACTTTTTGTTCACTTGATTGTAACCTTGGTTATAGTGATTTGCAGATTGCGTTTTATCTACCAACCATTGACTTTGTTTCATCCATTTGTACACAGAAAAGTTTCAATATGGCGAAAAGAATGACTTCATAGTTTTTCTCACCCAAATAGCAACATAATTTTTGTCAACTTCAATTTGTGAAGGATACTAAGCAAAGTTTAGAGCTAGGTTACCATACCTGTAGATGAGAGGCTGTTTTCCCAGTCTCTTCAACTATTGGCTTGTTAGGGTCTGTTTTTTCTGGCAAAAACATCACTTTAACTGTATATTTCATGTCTTTTTTCAAAATTTAAAAGGAAATACTCCAAAATTTACATACCAAAGAAGTGTTTCCCACATTGTCAGACATCTCTGACGGTGACTACAAAAATCAATGCAATTTTATCAGTTTTGTCAAAAGGTCATCTTTTCGCACATCAAGAAACAAATTCCAGAATTCATTAAGCTTGTGTATACCCTTGCTGTTTCTTCATAACATTGAATTGACCCTTGCAAGTGAGAGGCTGTTTCCCCAGTTTCTTTAACCATTGGCTTGGTGCCAGCTGTCTGTTTCTAGAAAAACATCAATTTGATTGCATATGTCAGGTACTTTTTTTCAAAACTTTTATAGAAATACTACAAAATTTACATACCAAACTGTTGTTTTCAATATATAAGGAGGGTCTAACATTGTCAGCCATCTCTGATGTCTACAAAAAATCAATGCGATATCAGTTTTGTCAAAAGGTCATCGTTTATCACAGCAATCATCAAATTCCATAATTTACAAATCATAGTATACCCTTGCTATTTCTTCAGAATATTGAATTGATATTTGTAAGTGAATGCTGGGTGCTTGCTATGCAGTCTCATGTGATCTCATTGTTCTTGCATTTCAAGTCATAGAATTTATATCAAACATCCGCATAAAACTATGCATTCTTTCATTTTTGAATTATAAATGATATAACTGTTTGGAACATAGGCTAACTCTTAATTAAATGACGAACGTCACTTTTGGTGAAATAGCACGCGATTTGACTGGCATAAGAATATTTTTGGCGGTCTGTTAATTTTTTTTAATGAACGGGCGTAATTTAAACGTAATTTCACAAAAACATAAATAAATTTGAAGAAGTTATGGCATGATAGAAATAAAGGTAGTCAATTTACAGATCTTTCATCTACAAGTACTATCCCTGCCTCTACCTCCCCTTCCTTGTCGTTTTCTGTTTCCCTTCTATTTTAAAATCTTCATCTGTTACTCTTTGTAGCTCTGTTACAATCTCTCTTCCAGTTAATAGCGCTGTTTCGACATTCATTCCTATACGCAAAGATTTTCATCTTAATACGATTTCTGCGAATTTCGAATCTCCCTTCCTCCCTGCTGCTACCAATACCAATACAAATGTCGTCACTGATTCTTTTAGCACTAACACCACTCTGGCCTCTTCCAGTGGATGTGCCTCCATCGGCATTTCTTCATCTGTTCAACCTCTTCTCCCTTTTCTTCAAGCTCCTTCGCCGCTACAACATCTGTGTCAACCATATCTAAAACGATGGCTCCATCTTTCCCTACAGCAACTTTTAGCACTGGTCAGAAATAGTGTACATAGGTGTTAGCATTAGAATGGTTGATTTTTTAGGTTCTTAGAAGTTATCAGGTTGTCGCAAAACAAGTTCGATCTTTTGTTGATTAATTTTGTCATCAACATTGAACACATTTGACAACAATAGGCATGTCCAAACACACATGACTATTTTCAGCTTTAAAATGTTAAAACTTGATTTGGTTCTTTGGCATCTACGTACATGCCGATGATGCGTAGCAATATTTCTTATGTCATAAATAGTGATTAACGAAGCAAATGGCAATGTCTTGAATTTAAATTGTTTCATGTATACTTAGGAACTGTTGTAGCTTGGCCAACGAGAATGGTGTAATCTGTGGTTTTGGATGTACCTCAGGAATGTCGAAGGTGCATAATCGACTCGTGACTTCCGGCTACTTATCTGTCTTTTTTACTAGTGTGGTACCGGGCAAAACAGTTGCTCCACCATTGCATGGTCCATTCGACGAAGATGTCGTAAGAACTGACGAGTCTTACATTTGGCCAGTTGACAGAATGTTTGTTTGTTGCTGGAGCAGATGATTTTACTAACAATATATAACTACGTAAATCTTCCGCATTTTTTTTCTTTATGCATTTTATTGTTTTCGTAAAGAAACTTCCTTGTATATGTATATTGTAGTAAATTTTCTATTTTTGTGCCTGATCTTCCAGGGGAAATATTTTTGTTTGATATCATTGTATTATAAAAAGAACAGATTTTATATTATGCGCGTCATATCACGTAAGAAGTCCAAATAAAAAAATTCCGAGTCGTGAAATAAGACACTTATAACTACTTTGAACTACATCAAACGACTTTTTCTGCATACGGATTTCCCGCATCATACCTTGACGTTCTATAAAGCAATTGGTGACGTATTACTTGCCATTCATCTTAGAAAAATCGGTAAAGGCTGCTTTCATAGAGTTAAGTACCAATTGCACAATTTACTAACCAAATTAAAAACAGAAATGTCTAC